ATCATCAGAGTGAACAGGCACCCTACAGAATGGGAGAAAATTTTTGCAATCTGTCTGTCTGACAAAGGGCTAATATTAAGTATCTACAAGGAACTTAAACAAATTTACAAGAAAAAAGCAAACAACCCCATCAAAAAGTGGGCAAAGGATATAAACAGACACTTTTCAAAAGAAGACATTTATGTGGCCAACAAATATATGAAAAAAAGCTCATCATCACTGTTCATCAGAGAAGTGCAAATCAAAACCACAATGAGATATCATCTCACACCAGTTAGAATGGTGATCATTAAAATGTCAGGAAACAACAGATGTGGAGAAATAGAAACACTTTTACACTGTTGGTGGGAGTATAAATTAGTTTAACCATTTTGGAAGACAGTGTGGCAAGTCCTGAAGAATCTAGAACTAGAAATACCATTTGACCCAGCAATCCCATTACTGGGTATATACCCAAAGGATTATAAAGCATTTTACTATAAAGACACATGCACACATATGTTTATTGCAGCACTATTCACAATAGCAAAGACTTGGAACCAACCGAAATGCCCATCAATGATAGACTGGATAAAGAAAATGTGGCATATATACACTACGGAAAACTATGCAGCCATAAAAAAGAATGAGTTCATGTCCTTTGCAGGGACACGGATGAAGCTGGAAACCATCATTCTCAGCAAACTAACACAGGAACAGAAAACCAAACACCGCACGTTCTCACTCCTAAGTGGGAGTTGAACAATGAGAACACATGGACACAGGGAGGAGAACATCACACACCAGGGCCTGTTAGCAGGTGGGGGGTATGGGGAGGGGTAGCAGCATTTAGGACAAATATCTAACATAGATGACGGGTTGATGGGTGCAGCAAACCAACATGGCACATGTCTACCTATGTAACAAACCTGCACGTTCTGCACGTGTATCCCAGAACTTAATAAAAAAGGAGCAAAAACATGATGACCTAAACATCTATCAACAGGGAAATAAACTAAGGTATATTCATTCAAAGGAATGCAGCATAGCAGTTAAAAAGAATGAAATAGTTTTATGCATATACATATCGATATAAAAAAACAAAAAAATTTATTGCAAAGCATGTTACAAAACATGTGTGCCATATAATGACATGTATGTAAATTTTAAGAAAAAAAACCATTTTTGTCTTGTTTATATAAAAGCACATATGCAGGAGAAACTACCACTTTCAAAGGAAGAATGCACACCAACTTCAAGATGATAATTTCCCTGAGAGAAAGGAGAGTGGGTACTTCAATTACATATGTGATGTTTCATTTTTTAAAAGATCAGAAGTAGAAAATAACTTTGTTTTGCAAATTTAGACAACCATAATAGCAAGGCATATAAATCACCACACAATGAGCTTCTGAATCTCTGTTTATCTCCATGCTTTTAACAACTGAAGTTCCACATTAAAACTGACTTGACAGGAGCAAATAATGGTAAGAGTAAAAACACAAATGAACAAAAAGCACTCTATATTTTTGGCTCATGAAAGTGAAAGTTAAGAGTTTCAAATAAAACCTCAAAAACGTGTGTCTGTGGTCTTACTTTCATCATCATTCTCTATTATTTATGAAGTAATATTATCTAAGGTAATACATACTATGCCTGCTACTATGGTATTCTGGGAGTGGATTTGTGGGGTTTTGTTTTCTTTTCGAATAATCAGTACTGTTTCTGTTGATACTATATGAGGGTATCATATGAACCTGACACTAAATGAAAATACGTAGGGCAAGAAAAAAAGAAAAAAGACCCATATGGTCACTATACAACCCTGAGTCTAATTTTGAAACTCATCTATTCCTCCTAAAGCTCACAGTGAACTGAAAGAATAATGAATTTGTTACTTTCAACTGGAATAAAAGTTAACTTTTTAAAAAGATGTTTCTAAAGCTTCATATAATATTGTAATTCAAATAATAGTTTTAGACCCATAGAGTGATAAAGCAACAGAAGTCAAATATGACAAAGAGAGGTAGGAAGCTTAAAAAATAAAATGAACTGAAAAGTTTTCAGAAATCACTCAAATTTAAATGAAAACATCAACGTGAACTACAGACCTTAAGAGTATATTTTTTACCATGTCCTCAAAGGGACCCAACTAGCCTCTGATACCATCCTCCCTAAAAATAGTACTCCCCCATATACCCAGCTTTTGGGGTCGAATACTATTCTCATCGAAAGAAACTGATGCTGCCACAGCAGTAGCTGATTCTGTCTTGGAGTGACAAAAAAATTAAAAAAAAAAAAAAATAAGTAAAAACATGTGATTACCAAGAAGCAAAGACCCTTTCCAAAATGTTAACACTAGTGCTAAAAAGGACACAGACACAAACTTAACAGACCCCTCTGAGGGCCACCTTATGAGAATTTGAGCATTGTTCATCACCACCATACCTAGCAGAAAATCAGCTGAGCCCCAGAAAAGGCATAAATGTATAGGTCCATAATAATACTTGTGTACTAAGAGACAGTACACAAGAGATTCTAACGGTTACAGAAAATATGTTCAACTGATCTACCCAAATTTCATGAGTCCTCCACTCAAGTTTTTGTCAACAACTAAGGACAGAATTAGGTATCTTTCCTTTCTTATGTGAAACAAATAGTATCAGAAAATTGTGGCTGATATCCATTTTTTGAAAAGAAGTAAAAATCTTCAGGTACCTATTGTAAAAGAGAAATGTTACCTATGGAACATGTAACTGTCACTTAATGTTTTAATTTTTGCTGTCAAGGACACTTGTGTAGGAAGAGCACATCCCACCTTAAAAGTGGGAAAGAGGGTATGACTCTGTCTCCCCATGGCCAGTCTTCAGTCCCACAGGAGATTATAAAAAGACAGGCAATCTAAAATTTACACAAATATACTTTACAAAAACCTTGTTTTTTAAAAATATTTTATTTATTTAAAGTTAGTTTCTACATGCTTATTTAGAAAAATTTCACATCTAAATTTTTTTTATCTTATTCCTTTCTCAAAAGAATCCAAACTGTTTGTCTGCTTGTTTTGTTTACTTTTCTAAAGGAGAGCTAAACAGGAAAAAGCTTCTCCCCTTCTTTACTGAGTGCCATTTTCTGTAATATAGTCCAAGGCACTGGGGATGTACTGCATCTACTCTAGTGTTTTATTGCTAACAAAGGCACCTAGGATCAAGCAAGAGGAGGGAATGTCTCTCCTGACATCAGTCTTAAAGTTTTGACATGTCTAGTTTTTTCAACTAGCTGTACATTACTGTCATTCATAAATTTCACAAATCCTTCTTGAACCCACATAAAAAATCTGTGCCTACACCATTACTTGCAATTAAGTCCCATAATTATCTTCTTTATACTTGTCCTAAATGAATCCTAAACTTATCAAAGTTTGCCTCTTTTTCCAGAATTTTAGAACTTCTTGAATAAGCCTATGCTCAACTTAACCCGTGTCTTTTTAGATCGAAGGCCATTCACCCTTTTGGTCTACACTCCTTTAGCATAACTGGATTTTTCCTCTCAGTCTAGCGGATCTTCTCTGGTTAGTCCCTAGTTCCATTAGGTCTTTTCTAAGATGCAATTGCCAAAACTGCACACAGGACACACGATGAGGAAATACCACAGATTTACGTACAGGTAGGATAACCATCTGGTTTGTCTTTGATAACTCTCAATGATGCTCAATGCTATGTTGGGATTTTTGTTATTATTAGAGTACTAACCTGCTGTTTTCTACATCCATAATAAATAAGTACTAGGTCTCTTTTCTGAGTTACAGTTTCAAATGATTTAAGATTATTTTAGATTCCTTCTGAATAGTTCCCTTCCCTATTTTAAAACCAGTCAACAACTTTCTGTTGCTGTTCAAGAACACAAATTTTTTAGATCTTCCTAGAGCTATCATTTGTGGCTCTGCCCTATTTGAAAACTATTGAGAGTCATTGTTCTAGTTCACTTACAAAGAGGCTAAACAATTCCAGTCCTAGCACTGATGTCAAAGACCTGATCAACTATTTACATTTTTTAATCTATGAAATTATGCTTTTATCCCTAGCACCTCCCTCTAGATCCTTTGTTTCCTCCTTCCAGATCCCTTCTCCCAATTCCATGGTAATTTAGCAGATCATTCATTCATTCAAGAAATCTTTACTGGCATCTACTCTGTGCTAGGCACAGAAATAATGTGTTAGGACTACAACAATGAAAACACAAGGTCACTGCCCTCAAGAATTTCAGGCTGTATCATATTCACTAGGGCTCCTTTTTTTATCTGCCTATTTTATTCCTCAAAAACACTAGTCAGGCACAATTTCTTTATTCACACATTACTTGCTTTTCCCTAAAAGAATATTTGTTAATGTTTCTGGTGTTAGAATTCAATGGATTAACCCATGCAAAAACGAGACAGAATCACCTATATATTCTCAAGTCTTTTTTGACCTGCATTACAATTCAGTAGCCAGTAGCCCAAATGGCTATTTAAATTTAAATTAATTACAATTAAATACAATTACAACTTCAATGAAATAAAAGAAAACTTCAGTTCCTCAGTTGCATTAGCCACATTTCAAGTGCTTTGTGGCCACAGGGGGCTAGTGGCTACCATATCGGGCAGCACAGACTTGGACCATTTCCATCACTGCAGAAAGTTCTTTTGAATAGGAGTGGCCAGAGAATTCTCACATAAGGAGTCACACAGTGGCCACATTAAAACAATAGGTTATACACTTCGGCAAATAATTACTGCCTTCCTCAATATTCACCTAATACCATCTGCTACAAGTTATTTATATTCCTTTGGTCAGTATGGTCTAAACTAGCTTAAATACTGACTACTGAATATGACTTTAATTATAATCTAAGTCAAAATATCACTCCTTTTCACTTTATGTGAGCAGCAGAATACATGACTGGAATCCATAATGAAAATACCTAAATAATAGTAATAATGATAATAATCAATTCAACATGAGAAATATCTTAAAGAAACTTACCCTCCTTCACTTTCTGCTTCCTCTGAACTATTACTTGTTGCTGAACTTTGAATTGTAGGGAGTCTTCTTTTTCTTGCTCTGTGCTGAGGGCTTACCTTATGAACAGTTATTTTCCCTCCAAGTTCATCTTGTATATATTCCTCCAGCTTTGGAACAGTTTCTTTAAGAAATCTGATTTCCTCTTTGAGTTCTTCCATATTTGTCAGTAATTCGTTTAACTTCTCCAGTATCTGAAGTTGCCTTTCTTGAAAGATCACTGTTGTTCCTTGGTCATTATGTATTTCATCTTGCAAAGTTATTGAATTAAATGTATTATCCAGAGAAAGAAATTTAGGTAACTTCATTGCTCTCTCTGGTTTACGGACCTTGTGGTACCACAAGAGCAGCAAGCTGATTCCAGCAGTGCCCACCATGATGCCAAATATCAGCTCTTTGTTTGTGGAATGAGGCATTTCTTGGTTTTTGTTTCTAAAATTAAAAACATAAATGTAAATGACTGTTTATGTATTTGTCCAAGACAAAAATATAGTTGCTTTTTCAATCAACAAAAGCCAAGTTTACATCACAAAAATCACTCTATGCCTATCACAGGGCTTATAAAAAGTAGGACAATTGCCCAAAGGATGGGAAAGGACAAATGGAAGTATACTGTTGTAAGAATCTTAGATTACAATGAAGAATTATCATATTAAGTTAAAGATGCAAAACCACTAAAAAGCAAACCACTAAAACAACCACTAAAAAGTAAAAAAAAAAATCCAAGGTGATACATAATAAGCCAATAATAGAGAGAAAAACAGAACATTAAAGATACTCGCTTGGTCCAAAAGAAGGCAGGAGAAGGAGAAAAAAGAACAGATGGGCAAATAGAAAACAAATAGAAGAGAAATTATGCCATTATTAAGTGGGCAAATGGTGCCAAAAGATCAAGAAATAACAGTTTTTGTTTGCCAACAGAAAAGACCCCATAAAAAGAAAAGAAAAATTGATGAAGTAGACATACAGAAAACTGCATAGCAATCAACTTGAGAAGGCAAAGGAGGTGGGCTCTATTGTACAAGTACAGGAGTTGACCTTTGATGGGAACATAAACCATTCATTCATAGTCATAAAAGGCAGATTATGTGAGCAGAGATTTAGGTAGGTGGGTAGATGCAGTGCTGGGAGGTTATGCAAGCTCTCTTTGATGGCTTCACTGTTCTAAGTGAGATAGGAAGCAAAGTAAATAGCTGGGAGTGAGAACTGGGGAAGAAATATCAGTAAGATGAAAATTCTGAATTAGGTTGTATACCCGAAATTCACCATCCTCTGCTATATATCCTATGATTCCACATATTCTATCAAGCATTGTTTCTTACACTTTAAATGGCCAACTAAATGTAATGTTTCAAATGCTTCCTTGGTGGTCTAATGGTTAGGATTTCTGGGCTCGCAAATGCCCTATGGAAGAGGGTCTGAGAGAATAAGCAGCCATAATCTATTTCTGAAAAACCTGCTTAAAAGAATGTCTTTGGATTCCTATTTTACTGGATTATATGCCTGGAACACAGAAAGTATCCTGTTTGGATGCTCTACACTTCATTACAGGCCTAAGTGTCAATGAGAAGGATTGACTTTAAAATAATCTTCCAGAAATTACCTCAGGTGTTAGTAAACATTATATCCAAGAGATTTAAGAATCCCTTATTTTAAACCAAAGATTCCAGAGAAAGCCTTGGTAGTTAATCTGGCCTGCTTTACCTCACAGAAATTTGCCTGGAATTAACTTGAAAATTTTTTTTTCACCTAATTGGTAAAACTGGAAACTGTAAGTCTAACCATCTGCCCACTCCCAGCTCATCCAGGAGACATGCCAGCAGCAGATTCCAATCAATTTGTAACTTCAGCTGAAATCGTAGCTAATTATTGCTAGATGTGTAAATGTATTCCTACAAAAAAATTATATCATGAAACTAAATTATCTTGAAAGCTTATTGCAAAAAGATAAGAAAAATCACTCTATGCCTATTAATTACAATTGCATTCCAGCTAATAATCACACATCAAGTTTAATCATCTTTATTTTTGTCAATAAAATTATTAAGGCAGGATGTCCATTCGCTGATATAGAGGTCTATTAAAGGGAATCTTCCTATCGTGATTGCTTTCTTTTGCCCATATCTTGGACTTTTACATTAATATAGCCTAGTTTGAAAATATTTTCATTTAGTAAGCAAATAAGTAGAAGTAAAAATCTATCTAGGAAGAAGAACTTATTCTTGAGACAGGACCAGGTTTCAGCAGTCATATTTTGGTTGGCCCTTTTTTTAGGAACTGCACCAATTCCAAATCACGTCTTCCATGCAGGACCTATTCTTATTTTGCAGATAAGTGAACTGAGGCACACAGGTGTCAAGTCACTTACCCAGTGATCATCCAGTTAGGAAGTGAAAACTGTCACCTTTCTTAACTCTTGACACCCTGTTCTTAACTCTTGGATGCACCCACAACATGTGGGAGATTTGGAAAGCATCAACAAGGAGGTGGGAAGGAGAGTGTTCACTGAGCAAAGATGCTCAGAGCTGAAATATTATTTCTGAACCACGAAAATTAACTAGAAAAAAATAGAATCAATGGAGCAGATAGGTTTTAAACAAACACAATAAAAGACTAACAGTTCAAGCTATGTTTGAGTTTTATAAGAGTATAAAACAAATGTGCTTCCACACAGATAATTTGAAAAATGACACATTAAAAATAATGTACAAAATACATCAGAATACTTGCTTGCCTTCAGAATAATTTCAAAGGTTGTATGAAGTCATTTACATAGCTTTTTTTTTTCAGAGTCTCGCTCTGTCACCTAGGCTGGAGTGCAGTGGTACAATCACTGCTCACTGTAGCCTTGACCGCTTGGGCTCAAGTAATCCTCCTGCCTCAGCCTCCCTAGTAGCTAGGACCACAAGCATGGGCAACCACGACCGGCTAATTTTTACATTATTTGTAGAGAGTGAATCTCCCTTTGTTGCTAGACTGGTCTCGAACTCCTGGGCCCAAGCAATCCTGCCTGCACCTCTCAAAGTGCTGGGATAAGCAGCATGGACCACCGCCTCCAGCCTTGTTAGCTTTCATATTTGTACGTAAGCTTATTGCAAAAAGATAAGAAAAATCACTCTATGCCTATTAATTACAATTGCATTCCAGCTAATAATCACAGATCAAGTTTAATCATCTTTATTTTTGTCAATAAAATTATTAAGGCAGGATGTCCATTCGCTGATATAGAGGTCTATTAAAGGGAATCTTCCTATCGTGATTGCTTTCTTTTGCCCATATCTTGGACTTTTACATTAATATAGCCTAGTTTGAAAATATTTTCATTTAGTAAGCAAATAAGTAGAAGTAAAAATCTATCTAGGAAGAAGAACTTATTCTTGAGACAGGACCAGGTTTCAGCAGTCATATTTTGGTTGGCCCTTTCTTTAGGAACTGCACCAATTCCAAATCACGTCTTCCATGCAGGACCTATTCTTATTTTGCAGATAAGTGAACTGAGGCACACAGGTGTCAAGTCACTTACCCAGTGATCATCCAGTTAGGAAGTGAAAACTGTCACCTTTCTTAACTCTTGACACCCTGTTCTTAACTCTTGGATGCACCCACAACATGTGGGAGATTTGGAAAGCATCAACAAGGAGGTGGGAAGGAGAGTGTTCACTGAGCAAAGATGCTCAGAGCTGAAATATTATTTCTGAACCACGAAAATTAACTAGAAAAAAATAGAATCAATGGAGCAGATAGGTTTTAAACAAACACAATAAAAGACTAACAGTTCAAGCTATGTTTGAGTTTTATAAGAGTATAAAACAAATGTGCTTCCACACAGATAATTTGAAAAATGACACATTAAAAATAATGTACAAAATACATCAGAATACTTGCTTGCCTTCAGAATAATTTCAAAGGTTGTATGAAGTCATTTACATAGCTTTTTTTTTTCAGAGTCTCGCTCTGTCACCTAGGCTGGAGTGCAGTGGTACAATCACTGCTCACTGTAGCCTTGACCGCTTGGGCTCCATAATAAGTCAATAATAGAGAGAAAAACAGAACATTAAAGATACTCGCTTGGTCCAAAAGAAGGCAGGAGAAGGAGAAAAAAGAACAGATGGGCAAATAGAAAACAAATAGAAGAGAAA